TACACCATGTCAAGACTTTTTTGAGGAGGTGCCGATTTCTCCTGCTCCAAACGCCGCTCCTCCTTGTCGATACGTATGAGAACCTTTTCGCAGAATTTGCCAATATTACTATTACTCTGCGTAGAGTGCAGTTGTAGCTGCCGTGTCCGAAGAGCAGTGGTTTCCCATAGTCATCCTGCATACATCGCATATCCCGGAAATGGTGAGGACGTGGCTGCGTATAAACTCGCATTCGGTGTAAGCATGAATTCCAGAGAGATTTCTCCATGTGCGACAACTGTCACTCTGTCTCGCGCAGGACAAAGGCATGCGTACAATCATCTAAAAAAGGCAATATTGCACAAACAGCGCATCTGCAGCCATGTCTCCGAATGGATTTCGCAGCCACGTCTTCCTCATCTCCCGGATATGGAGGGTAACCGCATATGCCAACACCGCGGCCACACTCACTAGTGGTACCGCCGGACGCTTGTCTTGCGCCCCCCCCCCCCTGTCTGTCTCTTCAAAAATGGAAATGTGTTCTATAAGAATATGTCGCAAGCTGTTGCTGCGCATACTGGCAGCAACGCTTGCGAGCAGCTTTTGTTAGCGGCACGCGCTCAAACATGGGCTCCATTTGCTTGTAATGTTTGAAACGAGCGCGATCACCCACCCGCAGATCAAAAGTGGTTGCATACCGATCAATGCACGATCGACTTGGGCACTTGACATGACAGGATGGCCATACCTCCGCACCCTCTTGAACAGTTATCGATTTCCCGGGATTTCCAACAGATCACCCTACACTAGCTGATCTCTAGGCTATCTTAGATTATTAGATTTTTTGGAATATTTGAATTCGGGAAATAGAGATACCTTGTTTTTCACGGCGGTGACTGCTCCATGTGATCTCCAATCGAACGAGTCCGGCAGCGGCTCGTTCAGATCGATCCCTTCGGCGGCCAAATCCGCGATTCGATTCGGGTAAATGGCTGGTCTCCCGCGAGGTGTATGCGGCAGTGTAGATCTGACAGGAGCAGGAGCCGTGTTAGTGTCATCAGCTGGGAGGTCAATTCTGATTTTTCATCCAGGAAGCAAGTGTGGATAGTAGAGCGGATGCGGGGTTGACCTGGGTTGATCAGTGGGCTGGTGCGATCTCTAGCGAGGACACGTTCGCGATCAGGTAATTCGAGGCTCAAGAGGGTACCAAGTCTCGTGGTGCGCAGGGCCGGATGCTAGGGCGTGCTCAGGGAGCCCGTGGTTCTTGGCGCGGTGACTGTTTTGTTCTTTCCAACCAGGGTTTCGTTGTCCCGCTTTGCCTGCTTCCAACAATCCTGGTGGAATCAGGCTGACGCTGTGTAACAGAACGGCCAGCCGCTCCTGCCTTGAAACGAGCTAGATCCCCAGCGCAACGAGGACTATAGCAATTCCTTTCCTTTCACAACCGGAACACCGTCTCGCTAGAAAAAGTGAATTGGGCCTTTCTCGGGGAGCCCAGTCCTCCTCAGGTGACCTATTTGTTACTCCTCCTGCGTTGCTGAGAATCATCCTGCGGGGCGGACCAACATCATGCAGGATGCGTCCTGCCGTTTCAAAATACGACCCTGAAGAGTTCTCTTGATGACCCCCCCCCCTTCCCACCCCTCCCTCCCCCTTCCGTATCTCCCATCCTACTTCCCGTCTTCTTAGATGTTGCCAACTTTCTAGCCTTTTCCCAGAGTTACCGAAAAGATTTCTCTCACAATCAGAGGGAGGTACGAACCTCTCGCTGGGAATCGCTAACGTACGACGTGCTCTGCTTTTAGGCCTTGCTTGCCATAAAGCTTTTGCCCCTACGAACTAATACACAAGCGTTTGCTGTACCACACTGGTGATACAGCATTTCGGTACCACGCGCCTTTCTTCAAATTGCTGTAAAAAAAACCCCTGAAAGGGGAGTTTACCCGAGAGAAAAATAAGAAGAAATGATAGTTGTACCTTTTTGAATTCTTCAGGTGAAAGATCAGAAAACTGTGTGATCCCGTAAACAGCCGTGCCTTCTTCGTTCTCTTGCCAAGTGCGGATTGCCTGGAATAAAGAATCATTTGAACGATGCCATTTCATTTACTGCGCTCAGTGCACTGGTGAAAGGAAGGTTCTGGGAAACTCTCCCGGCTCTGGGAAGCACCTGTTACAGCGAGCAAGCGACATTAACTGGTAGGAAACGAGCTTGCGACGCGTCAAAGCCAGCCTCCTGAGGCGCCCAAGCATCCGCAACGAACAAAACTATACTAACCTTCAGATTCCGCCTGAAGATTCGAAATCGCTTCAGCGCTTCACGTTTGTTACTGTAGATCTTATTGTGCCTGCAATCAAAGGTGATTGGAATTCTACTATGCGCTCGGATTTGATTACTTTATCGCGTCACTAACAATGAAATCAGTGTCAGAGTCGTTGCTTATGTAGGCGGAGTCGGACATGCCATCGCGTTTTTCTCACAGGCCCAAAAGGTACGCACAAATAAGGATGC